TTCCACCATGCCCCCAAAAGGGGTCCGCACCCGTAGGTAGGTAGGCATTGCAGCAGGCTACCTGAGTACCTAGGCACATGGCAGCTCATATTATAGCAGGTCATAGGTCGCAGGTCGATACCTACTTAGCGAATCGCAGCAAACCCATGCGGCTGTAAACATGCTGTGTTCGGGATTTCACTACCTACCTCCCTATGTAGGCATCTCGCACTCCCTAGTCTAGATCTAACCTAGTCGGCTCACATTCACCTCTCCAAAACGGACACAAGAGTTCCCCCCAGCCGGCGCTTTACTGTACTGCAGTAGGACGACAGTAGCTTCTCCAATTCGTGGCCAATTGCAGCCAATCCAGCACCGCCGAATTCAAATCCCCAAAAGCTCAAATTATAACACCCGGGTCCCGCGACCGGAGGCGCCTTTGCCATCTCCGATGTTCGGCCCTTCATCTTGCTTTGTCCGACCTCTTGTTACAGTGGGCAGGCTCCCTGAAATACAGCGCAGGGGCATTCTAACATGCAGTAAAAAGAAGCCGTCACCATCGAGCATCTCTATTCCACGCTTACGTCGTTCAGGCTTCTTCTCTACTATCTCTATGTAACCGGCGGCTCGGACAGACGACTTGTACATATACCGGAGCCCTCCCTCGTCTGTGCTCATCTGCTGTTTGGACCTAGTTTATTTGTCTTTGTTCCATCTTCTCCCATTTACTCCCTTCACATCGCCGGCGTTCGAGTGGGAGGGTTCATCGAGACCAAAGGGAAGCTTTCGACAACACCAACAGCAACACCAACAACACTACCGCTCTGAAGAGCAGAACCAAAGCCAAGATGCCTATCGCAGAGAAAGCCCCGCAGACCTTGTATGACAAGGTTCTTGCCTCTCACATTGTCGACGAGAAGCTTGATGGCACAATTCTCCTCTATATCGGTACGTCAAGACAACAACATATTGAGATGCCATGCATACAGGGTGGGCGTGTTTTGCTGACGTGCATGCCTCGTCGACAACAGACCGTCACTTGGTCCATGAAGTGACGTCTCCGGTATGTTAGCCACATTATCTAGTAATCATGTCGCGGTTGCGGTCGCAGTGGCAATCAAGCTGACACGTCCAATATAGCAAGCCTTCGAGGGCCTTGCGAATGCTGGTCGGCGTGTAAGAAGAACGGACTGCACTCTCGCCACCACGGACCACGTACGTCATTCCCTCCACCACTTACACCTACCTACTACATTCACGCCGCCATCTATCGATAGATAGAGAGACATGTATGCCGACGGTAAGCGAGTGCCGATGCTGATTGATTCGCTGCAGAATGTCCCCACCAAGTCCCGAAAGGGCATCAAGGATATCGCCACCTTTGTCGAGGAGGAGGATTCGCGGCTGCAATGCCTTACCCTCGAAGAAAATGTCAAGGAATTCGACATCACGTATTTCGGGCTGGGCGACAGACGTCAGGGGATCGTCCATGTCATCGGCCCCGAGCAAGGCTTCACTCTCCCCGGCACCACGCTGGTGTGCGGCGACAGCCACACGTCCACTCATGGCGCCTTCGGCTGCTTTGCGACCGGTATCGGCACCAGTGAGGTCGAACACGTCCTAGCCACTCAGTGCCTCATCACCAAGAGGAATAAGAACATGAGGATACAAGTAAACGGCGAGCTTGCCCCGGGTGTTAGTTCCAAGGATGTCATCCTCCATGCTATTGGCTTGATCGGTACTGCTGGCGGTACTGGCTGCGTCATCGAGTTCTGCGGCTCCGTCATCCGCAGCCTCAGCATGGAAGCCCGCATGTCCATCTGCAATATGTCTATCGAGGGTGGTGCTAGGGCCGGCATGGTTGCGCCCGATGATATCACCTTCGAATACCTCAAGGGAAAGCCCCTCGCCCCGTCTCCGGATTCACCCGAGTGGGAGCGCGCCGTTGCATACTGGAGGAGCCTCCAATCTGACCCAGGCGCAAAGTATGATATCGACGTCCAAATCGATGCGAAGGATATTGTCCCGACAGTTACGTGGGGTACCAGCCCCGAGGACGTTGTCCCCATCACCGGAGTGGTTCCGGACCCTGAAACATTCAACACGGAGGCTAAGAAGCAGAGCGGCCGCAGGATGATTGAATATATGGGACTGACACCAGGGACTCCCATGGAAGATATTCCCGTCGACAAGGTCTTCATCGGTTCCTGCACCAACTCGCGAATCGAGGATCTCCGCGCTGCCGCCGAGGTAGTGAAGGGGAAGAGGATTGCAGCCAACGTCAAGCGAGCCATGGTAGTTCCTGGCTCCGGGATAATCAAGGAGCAGGCTGAAGCGGAGGGTCTCGACAAGATTTTCCTCGACGCAGGCTTCGAATGGCGAGAAGCAGGATGCAGTATGTGTCTCGGCATGAACCCCGATATTCTCTCACCCAGGGAGAGGTGTGCAAGCACGAGCAACCGAAACTTCGAGGGAAGGCAAGGCGCCTTGGGTCGAACCCACCTTATGTCCCCGGTGATGGCTGCCGCTGCCGGTATCGTCGGAAAATTGGCGGATGTCCGGAAATTGGCCAACTATACAGCAAGCCCACATGTTGAAGCATTCAAGGCGCCTTCGCCAAGCAAACCAACTATCGACGAGAGCCTCGAGACAGGTGATGCGGTCGCCGGGGAGAGACTTGCAGACCAACCAGAAGACAGCTCCCTAACAGCCGAGGATCTGGTCACGGAAGCCGCTGGCTCACCAGGTCTACCTAAATTCACCGTGCACAAGGGTATCGCTGCACCGATGGATCGTACCAATGTCGACACCGACGCCATCATTCCCAAACAATTTCTGAAAACTATTAAACGCACAGGGCTTGGCTCAGCTCTCTTCAACGCTTGGAGGTATAATGACGATGGTTCGCCCAACCCAGAATTCATCCTCAACCAGGAGCCATATACCCAAGCGAAGACTCTCGTTGTCACTGGTCCCAACTTTGGTTGCGGAAGTTCTCGTGAACACGCGCCTTGGGCTTTGAATGATTTCGGTATCCGATGCGTCATTGCCCCGTCTTACGCCGACATCTTCTTCAATAACACATTTAAGAACGGCATGTTGCCCATCGCCATCACAAACCCAGCCGATCTGGACAAGGTTGCGGCGGAAGCCAAGGCTGGTAAGGAAATCGAGGTTGACTTGCCAAACCAGGAGATCCGCGACGCGGCCGGCAACACCATTTGTAAATTCGATGTCGAGGAGTTCCGGAAACACTGTCTCGTGAACGGTCTCGACGACATTGGCCTCACCCTACAGCTCGAAGATAAGATCGCAGAGCATGAGAAGAAAGTCTCGCAGATCACGCCCTGGATCGATGGCACCTCATATCTTCGCAGGAAAGGAGGTAAGCTGCCCGTCAAGGCTGCTAAGGTACCCACGACGAACGGCGGACAGGAACTCAAGGACCCCATCGATTGGTAGTAAATTACGCTGGTACAAGGGAAACAATCGGAAATTTTCGGAAAATCTTTTTCTTTTTTCCATCACAACTGGAATGCTGAAATCTGGGCTTTAGCACAAAATCTCATATCGCTGAGAACTGTTGTTTCTCATTCGCTATGTTTAATTGGTAGTATGGACAAGAATTCCACGTTACGTTTCATAACGTCAATTCTCTTAACAGTTTCATCCCCCAATCTTCAGTCCTCGTAGTCTTGACTTTGTGGTGAGCAGAACTGTGAACTAGAACTCGTAGGCCTTGGGTACAAGTCAAATAACGCAACTGAACCTATATTGACGAGGTTAGGAGATGGTGGTAACGGATAAATAGCTCTAAGGTGCTCGCACTTTTGTTTACTGCGTCTTCCCACAGATGAGGTGTTCCGACAGCGTCAACCTACTGCTATATACGTCACCTCATACCATAGCACTTACTGATTTTTACTTAACACTATCTTGTTCCGGTCAGAGTGCTCAAGGTCACAGAAAGAGTCCACTATGCTTCTGTTAAGATTTCAGGTTAGAATGATAAAAACAAGACTTGAACGCAAAGAGGAGAACTTTGGCTCTTAATGGAGCTGTCTTGTATTGCTTCACGTGGGCTTGCTTGCCTTGTCCCAGCTCATTCTTAATCGGCTGGCAAGGGCTAGGTCCCATTCGCTATCGGCGATCTAGAGTACGCATACTTTACCTCTCATGCCTGTTTTCTGTCGTGCATTATTGCGTGCACCTGGCCTCCGGAATTTCGGTGTGCATGTTGTTTCTACCATGTTCTGGTGCCTGCCTGCCTTCCTCATACCCAGACAGGGACGAGATTAGAAAAAAAAAGGGGAGGGAGGGGAGAGGGCTCCGGTGGCTGGCCTTGGCCTTGGCCTGGACATGATACTTCTTTGTCTTACAAGCTTTGCACTGTTCATCTTGCACTAGGTTTGAAGTTAGAGTTCTGATGCCGTCAAGACGGAAGCTCTAAGTTGTGGTGTCCTATGCAACTCAATAAGTCATGTTAAGCACTGTCGCTTCTCGTGTATCCTGTTCTAAATCCCTGTGCAACTTTCTCCTGTTTTCCTTATTATTTAGGGATATTGATATATTGTCAACTATCCTTGCCTGCAGTGTTTCTTCATCCGCTACAAGATTTGGCGTTAGTAGTTACTGTTTTCAATGTGCTATAAGGGTATATAGCTTATTACTGAAGTGGACAATGTGAGTCAGCTTAGGTAGCTAGGGTAGTCCCCTCTTTACCCTAGGAAACAGGCTGCCTCAACATTTCCAAGTGTAAATTGCATATGATTTATATTGAGGGATTAATTGATCAAGGCATAATATATAGCCTTATTAAACACAATCATTAATAAAAAAAGTAAACCTATCCCTAGACCTTTTTTTGATTTCTATATATTTAATATCTTTTCTTACCTGTTTATACCTAGTCCACTTACTCCACTTTTATATTTCTGAGACAATAGGGTTAATAAAATAACTCCTAAACTGCCTACTCTTAAAGACCTAAGTTAGCAGCCCAGTTAGCAAAAAATAAAAAGAACCCGACGCGGGATTCGAACCCGCGACCCTTGGCTTAGAAGGCCAAAGCGCTTCCACTACGCCAGCCGGGCTATGCTAGTCAGAAGACATGTTATTCTGAAACAAATCGCTTACATTTTAACATATGAAAAGTACTTGCTAGAGCTACCAGCAAAGTTTTTTCACCTCTAAGTTTCTCTTTCTTAAAGTTTTCACAGGGTCACTAATTGTGGTGTCTTGCCTAAGGTAGTCTTTTATGTAGCAGTTTTTTTCTGCAACTGCTCACCCGAGGAAAACTCAGCAGATCCAAGCTATATTGTGCTAGTCTATATATGAACTACCTGCGAGCAACTCAATAAGCTAACACCCCCCCTTGCGAACCACCCCATCGCGACCCAGCTAAAAACGCGCTACTGACCCCAACTACCTCAATTAAAAATTGTTAAATAACGTAACCGCGTTCAGTTCTTATGTTTTTTTTTTACCCTTATTTTCTTTAGAATTAACTCCTTTTTATTGCAATACTTTTATATAGCAACTAATAGCATATAGTAGCTATAGTTCGTACTATTTAATTTAGTACTTTGCAAAGATAAGCAGTTATTTAATAGGGTATTAACTGGTTATATATACGCCGCTGCCTTAATAGTATTTTAACCAAAAAGTAGTTATATTAATACTTTTAGATTTTATTTATATATTTTAAAACCAAACTAGCTAATTAGGCTATAGGTCAGGCCAGGCTAGGCTTTATATTTTTAATAGTCAAATTTAAATATATAGCTAAATATATATTATTAGTTTTTAAAAACTTTAGAATACTTAGAAAGTTATAGCATACGCGTTTTTTTTCTTGCAATCTTAAACTAAAAATTACTAAATTAATATTTATTAATTATTTATATATTAACGGAGCAACTATAGCTAATATTAAGCTATTTTTTAAATATTTTAAAGCTTTTGAACTAGCGAATATATTTCTAGAACAATTTTTTAATACTAATAAAATAAGCATTGGCTAAAGTATAAAAAAAAGTTATTAGGTTGTTTGTAAAGCTTTAATATATATAGCTTTAAAAAAAGATATTAAAAAAAACAAATAAATAATATTTTTTAAGTATATTAGTAGTAAAAGTATTGCTTTACTACTATTGCTTATTTTTAAAAAAGTTAATATTTAAAGTTAATAATTTCTAAATATAAATTATAGTTTATTTAAAAACTAGCGGTTTAGAACTTTGCTTAATAAATAAACCTATAACTTTATTATTATTAATTAGCTTGTTAATATTTTTATTCTGTTTATTTAAAGCTATTTTAGTAATATATAGGTTATATTAATATATAATAGCTATAACTTATATATAAATAATAACTTTTTATAGCTTTATTTTTTGAACAAGATATAGCTTGTTTTTTATAAACTATACTATAGCTATATTATATAAGCGTTAAATATTAGAGTTTTTAGTTTATTAAAAAAAAAGCTTAAAAATAAAATCAAAAAAATATTTAAAAACTGTTTTAGTGTTATACTTTTAAAAAAAAACATAATTATAGTATATAAATAAGCTTGCAACGCTGTTTTATTACTAAAAACTATTAAAAAAGCATAAGTAATAGCTAGGATATAATTAAAAAATATCTAATTATTATTATTTTTAAAATATATTATATTTAAAAATAAAAGTATTACTTATAAAGTTTAATTAATACTTATATTAATTAATTAATTTAAAATATTTAAATATTAGCTTAGACCAAGCTAAATAAAGATCGTAATACTTATAAAAAGCTAAGATTTGCAGTATATAATTTAGAAATTAGCTAAGCACTACTTTTTTTTTAATAACTTATTATAAAAGCTATTTTTTATAAAAGCTAGCAAGGCTTTTAACTAGAAAACTAAAAAAATTGTAATTTTAAAAGTATACATTAAGCTATTAAAAGCTAAACTAGCTAAAAAAACTATATTAAAGCGCAAGTTAGTTAAATTGCTACTTAGTTATTGTTTTATTTATATAACCTATGTATAGCAAGTCAAGCAAAAATTGTAATAGTAAATATTATATATAAATAAAACTAGGGATAAGGATGTACTAGAAGCAGAGAAAACAAAAACTAAAGATATAATTAAGGTTAGAACGTTTTAATATTTAATAAAAACACTAAAGTTAGCTGTAAATATTATATTGTGCTATGAATAATGGCTTCAAAAGTTGGTGGGTGGCTATTTTGGTGGCTGGGTTGCGATGGGGTGGTTCGCAAGGGGGGGTGTTAGCTTACCTTACTTAGTGCCATAGAGACTCTCTCTATGTTTAGTCATATCATTTCGTTTCTGTGACGCTGAAGTAATCCTTCTACTACAACACAATCAACATGTTATTCCTAGTACTATCCTTTGTGGGAATTAAGAAAACTAGAAATTAGCTATATGGTTTCTGGGACTCAAAAATGCTTGAGTCACTGATACAACTTCTCTATATTTATATATTGAATCCAACCTAACATAAAACACACAGCTAGGAGAATCGCTGAATATGTCCGCAGGAAATTAACGATGTGAAAGATTATATGTGTTATCTTAGTATCCTGTCGAGGAATTATAGACCTCTTCCATATGGCCAATGTACGTGCTGAAAACCACGTCTAGAAATATCCAACGGCGGTTTCTCTTATTCAACTAATAAATCATAATACTTCCACTTCCATTCCATCCTACATCGGTGCCTCAATCTACCTAAAAATCACAACCTATACATTTCGTAGAAATGAATAGTAAAGTCTCCCTATTCAAGACAGCGATGCAGAAGGTCTACGGACCGTATGATCTGGCCGCACAGCCAGATACCACATGGGAGCCTGGCAACACAGGCGGTTACCACGGCCGCTACCTCTGGACCGATGCCTTTGGTGTCCTTAACTTCATCACGTTGTCTAGGGAGGATAGCTCCCATGGGTCTGCGTACCTACACCTTGCGCGCCAGCTCGCAAACACAGTCTACGAAGTACTCGGCCGCGAGCGCGAGCCCCCTGGGTCTGCAGCTCGCCTACCAGGTGCTAGCGATGATACCCCACTCCCCGGCGGCCTGCGCATCGGGAAGCTTGATGCGAGTGCCCCCGACGGTGATGGGATGTACCACCACTACCTAACGCTTTGGGTGTACGCGCTTGACGTGTTGGCGCGAGCTGGAATTCGCTGGCCGTCTAACTAGCGCAAGCGATACATCCGCGATCTATGGTCGAGCGCCACGGGAGGGAATTTAATTATGGTTTGGAAGATCTCGACTAATATGCGCGCCATGTACTAGTTGCGAGTAAGAGCCACTTGGACGACGTCACGGGGTTTGTGGTCTGCCGCATGTTGAGAGATACAGCGCGACGCTTTCATGCTTCTGGAGATGACGTGCTAGCTTCTGAGATTGAGCAATACGCCCGCATCATGGAGAACACAGATATCTCACTCTCGGGCGACCCCCTGGATTTAGGTATCGGGCTGTGGCTGGCACATTTCGATCGCGATGCCGCCTGGTCCCGCAAGTTGAGCGCCCGGGCCTTGGAGATTGCACGAGGGAGGTTCTTGGTCGCTGCTGCCAATCCTCTAACGCCTTCTAGTCGTCTACATCGCCTTGCGTTTCGCAAGTTCGGCGCTTGTTTGGGTATCAAGTGCTACGAGGAAGGGCTGGGGCCCGTCATGGAAGGTATCGAGACTATTTTGGATATCTGGAAAGGTAAAATATTGGATGGCGAGGACGACCAAGTTGAAGATTTGAAGCCGACTAACCTAGTTATGTATGTCGCGGCTCTGATGCCTAGAGGTTAGTGTGATAGCACTAATTCGTCTACCAACAGAGGCTGTGATCTAACCGGCAACAGCGTTTCATAGGGGCTACGTTCGGAGTTGAAAGGGTTCTTGGGAAATTCAATCTGACCTCTCATCAGCAGACATTGGGGCGAGAGGGCAGTTGGACTGCTCATAATTAGATCTGGATTGGACCTAGGCCGCTCGTTCAGCTAAGGTTACTCCGTTCAACCTGTCCCTCTCCTTGGGAGTCCTCGGAAGTCATTTTGTCTATCCATGCCACCCACCGGCAATAAATTGCTAGTTAACTGGTCAGCAATGTGGACGGGTAGTGTTGCTGCTCAAATGAGGGGATAATAGAAGGGAGAACTAAAAGTGCTGCTGGCTTAGAGTATAAGCCTTAGACTACAAAAATTTTATTTAATCCGGATAATATGGTCCCGGTACAGTTAGATCATGCTAAAAACTCGTGTTAGGAGGGACTATCTAGTTGGGTACTTATATAACACGCAAAAAGAAATATATTATTATAGAAAATTATCCCTATGAGACCTCTAGGTAAAAATGCTACTTCCCAAGAGTGTTCTTGCTGCTCACCATAACACCCTACATTTTATAAATACACTTGAAAGCTACCTAGGTAGGCTTGAATCACCTAATCACCTTGTTATTTTGGAAATAAAGAAAAGTCTTCCTTCACTTCTCCTAGCTTTTTTTATTTCTTGCAACAGATGATTCTGTATTGCGTACTGAGCACTCATCACTGTCTATAGCGGCGAACCTTTGGCCTTGAAACGTTCCGGATGCTAGGGAGGGAATTAGGAGTCAGCCTAGCCTAAAGGCTTTGACTTCAAACGTCAAACCGCGATTGGGGTTAGAGAATCGACTAATTAGGTCGCATCTCCTGACAATGGAGTGATAGGATAGGAATAAGCGCCATTGTCTAGGTTTGATCGATCTGCAAAATAGCCGAGCAAGATTTAGCTAATCGCTTGTTAAAGAACATCTCGGGATTTGTCTTCAGGTTTCAAAACAAAGCCCGATCAACAGAAACTGCCCTTAGTTCAAGCATAATAACTAAATATTATGCCACTCTAGCTAGCTTAACGGGAAGTGCGATGTATAAAGTCACGGGGCCAAGTGGCTTTTTCAAGCCCCCTGGTCGTAATATAGCTTATGTGTCCAACACTTTAGACCCTATAGGAGGGGTTATTTATCATGTTAGATACTACATTGAATCACTAGAAATCTAGGATTATCTTGTCGCACGACCTGCTTTGTTTTTATATA